CAGGAATGGTTGCTAGAAAATAGTTCAATGTGGTGTTAAACTCCAAGAGAACACCCACAAACAGCACTATTTGTAAGGATTTGTGAGCAAAGACTGGTTTAGCCACAGAGAAATGAATTAATCTAAGTCATAGACAGTGATTTAAATCTTTAACAATGTTGCCTTTAACTAAGCACATAAGAACTTCCCTCATCTGCATCTGTCTATATGTACATGTGCACATACATACACAACATAAATTACAGAGACTTCTGCATCTCCATATCTGGCTTCAGTACATTCTGGTTCAATCTTAATGCAAAGTTCAGTAACCAGGAGAACTAACAGCCAGACTAACATACCAAAATTAAGAAAAATGGGGAAGGAAATGAACTGCCTTTTCCAGACCAAGAGCTGATGTTTTAACTTTCTGAGTCTTTCCACTGCCTAAAGCTATATGACTGGCTATTATTTGGCTGCAGTAGCCTGATTACATCTCTTCTCCTTGGCCAAAGCAGACTTTTTTTCCTCTCTCAGCTTTGCATGAATAAGACTCCCATTAAATCACATGTAACTGATATGACAACCTTAGTACTAAAACCCTCACTCTCCTCTATGCTCTTAACAGGCAAAACAAGGGACTACTCCATTCTCATCCAGTTATTGGGCACTAAACAACCTTAAATCATATCAATCTTATTAAAGTGGGAGGATGTCAAATGCAATTGCAGGAAACATTTCTGAAGGACAACATCCCTGGTTGTCAGAGGCCTGATTCTCATTCAAACTAGCCTCCCTTGATGTCATTTTGGCAGTACAGGATTTAATGCAATTGTGAATCATTTAATTCAAAAGCAGAACATGCATTTGACTCTGTGATGGTGAGCTGGTTAAGACATGGACTCCAGGGTGAGAAGCAATGGAATAGTTTATTATGAGAAACTGCTCCCTTATATACTTTTACAGTGGAAACTGACAATAAGCAACCAGGGTACACAGAATGTAAACAGGACTCACACCTGCTCCTTGGCATATACAGGGGCCTTGGGTTCCCAGGATATAGCCAATCATACACCAAGAACATGAAAAACAGTGTTCTGATTTTTGTCAACATTCACATCCCTGGCCCTTAGCTGGTCTCATATTGTTTTGTCTACTTCTTTACAGATACCAGAGGCCCCTTTCTTTTCCCATGACTATTCTCCACAATGAGCCACATGGCACACTCTCCCTTTAGATTGCTTTAGACCACCAAATTTAATTTCCCAAGCTACAGGCTCCTCTCTATAATTACAAGGTAAATATGGGGCAACTACAATTTCCAAAGATAATGGTGTAGTTGTTGGTGTAAAGCTCTAGATTAATTTTTCAATAAAATTGTACCACATCTGTATGAGATTTAATGACATCAACATTGCTACACGTGTTCAGAAAATCACAACAAATAGAAAAGATCCCTGTGAACAGCCAGTTCACCACTTCTAGGGCTAACAAAGGGCTTTCTTCCTCTTTATGCTGACAAACAGTAAGTTGTCATCATATGAGCAATACCAGAAAGCATAAGATTTTAAGTTCAGAGTATCACAAAATATTTAATTACATTCTCTAGAAAAATCTGTTTTATTTACCTCTAAATGGAGCTGAAAACTTAAGCTGCTTGTTAAAAATAGCACTCGTAAAATATTCTTACCTGTGCAATAAGCCAATCCACAAGTTTGCTTGCCGGGATCACTGATTTGTAGGTCTTTAGGTGGTAGTCACGGTCTCTATTTAAGAAAGAATTCAGGGAAAATCAGGACAAAAAGGTAAACATTTCTTTCACACTCCAAATGTATGTATTTTCTTGCAACCTACTATTATGAAGTTGAGGAAGGAATAAAAATTATATATGAAAAAAACAAAAGCCAGACTCTAAGCCATAAATAAGACAAAGAACAGGAACCAGATCACTTTCTTCTCTGGACGAAAGGACTAGCTTTTAAATTCTACTAGCAGCCTGAATTAGGAAGATATTTATGATCAATACAGAGCAGTGTTACTTCAAATTTCTCTAGATGTTGTTTCAAACCATCTCCAGAGAGCTCCTGTTCCTGCCAGAGGCAACCAGGACCTTCTCTTCACAAATGTACAGAGCTGCTGCTTTAACACTCAGGTTAGAATATTGCCACCATCAGTTCTGCTGAGAACCACATTCTTCTGACTGGAAGTCATCTTGTAGTTTCCATCCTAAATCCATTCATGTCCAGTTTTCATTTATTGTCTCAGTGCCTGACCCAGCTATAAGCTTCAGTAGCTCTTCTCTAGTGTTGACTCATCAATGTAGCCATAGACACATTCCCTCTGGGACCTCTCAGGCTCACTGAGTTAAGAAACTTTTAGCCTGCTCAGTCAAGAGAGGTTTTCCTGATTCTGTTCAGATTTTACTTTCTTGGCAAAGTATCACAGAGTTGCCAGATACAAATAGAGAACACAATGTTCTTTTATGGCATTAGATAATTTCAGCCATTGTAAATAAAAAAAGTGTTGTAGTTAGCTCTTGTAACATGACTTGCACCATCTCACACACAGGCCTTGTAGAGAGCAGCACTGTTCCTGAAATGAGGAAAAGAAACCCTATTGTAACTTCCTGCATTTAGCAGTTTTCTTCCATGACTCTTCTCAGAGCCATGAAGATAATTGATGTTTTTATTCTTCCATTAAATACTTAGAAAGAATTCTGATACAAATATAAGAAGACTATGTGGCTCAGGACATTGGGCTCCATCACCTTTCACCTCCAGGTCACTGGATTTGATCCAGCTCATGAGAGAAGAAAAGCTCTTTCCATTCTAAGGCTGTTTACTGGCCCGTGTGAAATAAGTTTGGTGGTCTTGATCCAGTTCCTAGTTCCACATCACAAAAGCCATTACCACAATTAATTTGCATTAATTGGCTCCCTCTTGTTGAGAGCCTCAGTAGAGAGGCCAAATGCTGAATGGCTATGAAGAATTAATTCTTCTCTCTCCCCCTTGGAGGTGGTCCTTGTATTTCAAGCTTGAGGGCCACTGGCATGACTGTGGAAGGAAACTTTCACAGCAACTGTGACTGTTTTACAGTCCGGATGTGTCGATATGGCAGCTCAAGAGAAGACTTTATTATTTGGTTCTGTCAGATCAATCTCCTCCATTAGCACCCCAGCATTTGATATTTCCTTTTTTCTAAAATCAAACCGCCATCTAAAATCCATCCTACTCGTGTTTTCTTTTTACTCATCATCTACAGATACAAACATGTTGTGACTGGCTTTTGCAAATAAATGCAGAAGAAATGTGTGTTTGCAGAATGCAGGGTGTGAGAAATCAGAAAGGGAAGCAGGAATTTCAAAGCTTGGGACAAAAAAAAAACCAACACAACAAACCAAACATGACAGCATTTCCAGAGATGTGTCCTCAGAACAAAAGCTTTCCTCATAGTGCTTACATGCATTTTTTGCCTTGTCTTCCAGTAATATGCTAAACCCAGCACAAAACTGTGGGAGTTTGCCCAGCAGTTTTTCCCTCTCACACTGTTGAGAAAATGTGCTTTAGAAATGTCAGAACAATAAAGCACAGCATTAAAATATTGAGTACTAATGAGTAGGGGTTTCCAGATTATGCAAAGCAACTCCCAACATTTTCACACAGATGCTGACACAGAGCTGGAGTTTTGAATAAGCTGGCACCCGGATCTTGGTCCAGGGCCCAGTCTTTCACTGCTTGTAGTTAAATGCTTGTCAGGATGAATATTTCAGTATTAGTTCACTGAATGTTTCCCCCACTTCAAACTAACATGAACCAGAGTAGAACATGAATCATAGAATGTCATCCGGAACCATGAGCTGCAGGTGAATAGTCAAATATTGATGTGGGAACCACTGAAATTTTGGCAAAACCTTGCTGCTGCTGCACAGAAACTAGGGGAATAGAATGTTCTTCACAGGGTCTAGCCCATCTACACACTGAAGTATTGTCCATCACACGTGTAAGTGTGAGCAAGCTCTCCCACTCTCACAGCTTCCCAGAAGTAGATCACAGACATATTCAGAATGTTCTTCTACATCCTAGGATTTTTCAAAATGTTTTACTTTTTATGTATCATCCCCCAAAGCAGCATGCTTTGTTTCCAATGGGACATATAATTTTATTCTCCAAGTAGATCAATGTCAGAGTTTACATAAATCAAATTAAAAAGGCAAAGGCTACATGGAAACTCCCAGGTTTCCAGGGAAGACAACTAAGCAAAATTATGCTCCAAGGCTGTCAACAAAATAATTGAATTTTTAACTTTGTGATTCCTCTAGATCCTCTTGGCACATCCACCTGCTACACCAAGCAGTTTTGCTGATTTTCTAGAAGTAAGGTTTCACCAGAAAAGCAGGCCTCATCAATCTTGTTAGCATGATTACAGGGATCAGCAGTCTGAAGATGCCAGATAAAGCAGTGGTCTAAAGGCAGGGCAGAAAGCAATAGGCTTTGCACAACTACCTTGGCTAAAAATTAGCTCCTCCAGGCTAACATGAGGCTTGTCAGAGGCAAAAAGACATAAGAAGACACGAGAGGATGACAGCCTAGTAGAGTTAGTTTTCTAGCAGGAAGATAAATGAAAAAGTGAGTAGGAAAGAGAATGGCAGGAAGGAGAGCCTGAACATACTGAGAAAGTGAAATTTATCCAGAAGGATCCTAAAACTTCAGGAAGTCTGCTCTTTTTCAGTGTTCATACATAAATTAGATTCATGCTGTCACTAACACAAGATTAATCCTATTTGAAGATTCTCCAGCTGTGATTTTATTACAAAAAAAGCACATTTTGATAAAACAGCACAAGCTAGGCCTATGGGTAGTTATTTTGTCCTTGTTGATTCCCTAAAACATCGGACTACACCCCCTTCAGTTTGTGAGTACCCTAAAGTCAGTGAAAATTTTTCTGCTTCACTTACCATTATTTCTACTCTGCATGTGAATTGCTGTCTTAAGGGCTGAAATATGTAAGTGCAAATGCACACATGCATATGTACATATATAACCATGTTGCCTACAAAGGGCTGCATCATGCTTCCCTGCTCTTTTCATACCCTTTAGGCTAACTGAAATCTGTACTATTGTAGAACAGCTAGTCTGGGGAAAAAAGATCTAATTAGGCAAATTTATGACTGATGAACTCTATCTTTGCTGCTCCTTTTAGTGTGACAATGACATCTCTCAATGAAATATCTGTTGTACAATTCAGGAACAAGAGGTTAGTTTTGTTGAATTTGGGACTCCAGCCATGCCCACCAGAGGTTTTTTTGCTTCCTCATCACTTTTTTGTAGGTAAAAATTAGGTTCTCCTAAATTAAAATGATTAATTTTCCACCATAAACACCTAAACAGAACACCCACATAGCTCAGAGTGGGTTTTATGATGGGCCAGAAATGTTACCCTGATGTCACAGTAAAGCAACAACATCTGAAATTAGAGTTTCAAGTTTTATTCCACTTCAGATTGTTTTTTGCTTAGGGTACTTTGAATGAAAGGATCCAAGCATCACATAGGAATCTGTTTACATCACTTTAGCATCTGTTTAAATTTTCTACAACCCAAATAATACAACAACTACAATCTCACTGCACAATCTGTCCTGAATCAGTAGTCACTTATTAATCAACTTATAGAAAATACCAGAATAAACAACTTGTGTCATGCTAGCAACTCTCATTAATTGATGGAGGAAGCAAATGTCAGGAAGACTATAACACTGGCATTTCACTCTGCAAGAACCCAGTTCCAAAATCCTCCAGCAGAAGTACAACTACAGTTCTAAACTGTGGAGACAGAAAGGTAGTAAAAGAATCAAGAAAGTGCAGAAAATGCCTGTATGTAAGAAGACAGAAGATGGATGACAGGTTGCTAGTGAAATATTTTTAGCAAATCCAGGTAATACATGCAAAGGGATCATGAAGGTGAACTTACTTTACCACTGGAGTATACAGGCAGTGTAGTCGGCAATACAACCTCACACCCTGAAGAAGGAAAGGTGGATGGTATTATCAGTTTTTCCTTTTCCAAGAAACACTAACTAGCTAAAGCTAGCAAAACCTGGACACTGATATCTCTACTCAGCTAGAGTTATCTATTGATTGACTGTTTTTCAAAACAGTTCCCTTATCCTTCAGTCAAACATTCATTCTTCTTTCCCTGTCTCCAGAAGCTGAAAAATCTCTTCTTTTATCTGTAATCACCTCCATTCCAACATTTTTTCCATTAAAACTTGACCACAATTAACCCATGAACTGATGTCCATACAAAGAAATCCAATTTATTAAAAGGTATATGGGCAGATATGGGATCCACATACATATTTTGACATACAATTATCTGGAACAGCAGTAAATATTGATCTCCTCTATCTCCCTGAATCATAATGCACATAATTTCCAGGAGACATGCTATATTATGTCCTGCTGTTTTCTTTTAAGACCTTTTGTGTTTATATTAGGATTGCAATCAGCAGTGTCAACTGTACTGCTATTTATTGCTAAGCTCTGCTTTCTTTCCCTCCAGTGAATGTCTCCTATGGCATTAGGATGGATAGCTTAGTGTAACAAGGACAAAAACAACATTAGGGATCTTCTATGCAACAGGACAACAACACTCATAAGCAGAGCAAACTTTTTAAGTAAATCACAAGGTTCCAATGAAGAATGATAATACAAACCTTGGACATGATGTCTTCCAGTTCACTTCTTGGCTTGTAGGTTCCATCATCATAGCGAAATCTGTACATCACCTGCTCGTTCTTAAACTGGTGCTTATCTGAAACTAAAACACCAGTATGACAACTAAAATTAGTCTCTTCTGCCCTATCATGTTGATTCCCTAAAATAGCCAGAATTAAAGCAGATAGAGAGGAAACTGAGTGATAAAACACATAGAGCTCAGCATGTAGCAATCTCCTAATGCCCTGGTTCTCACAGGCTGAGGGATCAGCAGTTTTCACCTGATAGTAACATTATGCCAAGTGAAAACAAGATAAAATATATTGCCTAATGTAGACTATGGGAAAGGCTTCATTATGGTGCTTTTAAGTTTTAAGTTCTTGAGATATTAGGAGACACATAATGGGATACTTTAATATCTAATGATTTATCAAAATCTCAAGGGATACTTCCTTAAGTAAATGAAGTATTGCAAGTATCTTCCAATGTCTAGTAACAACTGTTCTTGGACACACTAACATCAGGAACCCTCACTAAAGGTAACATTAAAACCAAATCAGATGCATCTTACTCAGATCATTGGAATAAGGGACCAGCAAATGTAACAGCACAGTATTCTTTGAGCTGTAAGTTTGTGTTTAGAGAAAAGGACACTGTTGAAAGTGTCAAAGTATGAAGTTGAGGCAAGAGCTTTTTGTACCAACAGTGCAAGTGTACACATTCAGAACACAGGCAGGTACCAGTGTGAGTGCAAAAGACCATTCTCCATCCAAAGATGAATCCCTACACATTAGAGCCAGAGTGTTTCAGTTCTCCAAAGCCACAAGGGCCAAGTACTCAAAAGCATTCAGAGCTGTTGAGCTCATGCTCAAAGCCCTTCAAAGTCTGAATGCACCTGAAAGTACACCTTGGTACCTGCTGGTGGAAGTAGATATACACGAAGGATTATGATACTGATCATATTAGATTTCTCTATATGTTAATTAAAAGAAGATAACATGTAATTTCTTAACAGTGTAATTGTCACCTGCAAGACAAGTTTGTGGTGCTGAGTTACCAAGATTAATGCAAGACTAGCCTAATTAATGGCTCCCCTATTTAAACTGGTTGCCAAGAGATTGTATGGAAATGTAGACCACTGGTGACTTAAGACCTATATACCTTATTCCTTTGATGTGCATTTTGTAGCTAAACTCACCTGACAGTTGAGATTGGGGCATTTGCTGTTTAACTAGAATATGACTGTGTTCTTTTGTCTGCATAAGGTAATATGAAAATAACAAGCAACAGCAGGGCAAATCTGGGTTTAAAGGAAGTAATCTGGAGGAAACAAGGATAGCATAGAAAATTTTCAAAGCATCATCTTGTGCTCCTTTGGTCATGCTGCACTTTGTATGCACTATCCTACTCTTCTGAAATACTCCTTCCATCACACCACTTCAGAATCTTCTGCTGGGTGTGAAGAAGAAATACAGTGCATCACTGCTTGAAAGTTAGACATTCTTGCCAAATGAACTGGAAAGAGCAAATCCCACAACAAACCCTCCAGCATCTCTCTATGACAGGCATTCTCATCAGAAAGAATGAGCCATCACCTGGCTCACTCTATTTGTACCTGTGCCCTGCTTTAAAAGAGCACTGCTCAACTACCCTCTGTTTGCTCACATCTCACATGGAAAGATGAGCTCTACAGATTTTCAAACACACAAAGTACAAAGGAATGTATATCTGATATAATCCACCACAAAGATGTTGTGAGAAATCAAACAACTGCAGGAATAAACACCTTCAAGATAGCAAAGTCCTCTTTTAATAATATAAATTTGCCCACTTGTTAATCCCCAAAGTAACTAAACATTTTGAGGAGTTGATGGGTATGGTAAAGTATCTGAAAACCATGTGAAAAAAGCTGCAGAATTTTCCACCCTCATTTCCAGGGCATCACTGAATTCTGACATCTCTTTATGGCATGGAACACTCACCATGATGAATAATTCCATTTTCCAATAGTGCCTGTCCCAGGTTGACTCCTTCCTCTGGTTTGCTTATCTCTCCAATCTCTGTGAGCCATGATACAAACTCACTGCAGAGGGAAGCAGAACAGAAACAATTAGCCTTTGCACTCTGAATATAAGCAGATAGATGCCTCTGCAAGTCATCAGGCAACCACAGCAGATTTCCTCCCTGAAGCAAGTATGAAAACTGTTGAAAGTGATGACACCTTTACCAGGTGGCTCAGTTTCCTATATTTCTGGAGGAAATGCTCTGCAGAAGATCTAGATCTCCTGTCTGTGACTTCTCACCATTCCCAGTAGCTCACCATAATTAGCATCCACTCAAAAGGAAACACGAGCTGCTGGATTTATAAAGATGCTGCAAATCCTAACTTTATTGAGCATTTCAGAAATCCAAGGTGGAAAAGGAAAACAAGATTAACTGATGACCTTAACAACAGTAAATTGGACGGTAGAGAAAACAGCTACTTCTACCCAAGCTATGCCTCTTTATCCTTCCAAGCAGTGTTTGTGATCTTAGTTTCACAGGCTCACCTTTCTTCAATGGGTCTGATTTCTCTCTGCCGACCCCCTACCTCCCCAGTGTGTAACTGCACTGGATTTCATGGAGTGACAGTAAGACTTAGGACAGAAGTGTCAACCTACTGAATTCAAGCACAGAGCAGTAAGGGAGAGCACGAGTCCCATTGACAGGTTAATTTCAGGTCATTTACTGAAGTTGGTGCCTGGCAGATACATAAATGGTGATTCTAATTTATAGACAAAAGTGCTAAGTCTGTCTGCTCATGCAGCACATAACAAAACCTCTCTCTGGTGAGGGGCAGAACTGCACACATGGGCAGAATAAAGGCCAAAAATCGATAGATATGTAGGATGTTACCCAGAAACAGTAAGTACAGAAAAACAGACATTGTAAGCCTGATGAATATAGCACTGCCAAAGTCCTGGGGGGCTGAGTCATTTGCCAGGTTAATTAGTGATTATACTAGAAATGTGTTAAATTCATAGATAAGAACAAAAGGAATAAATGAAAGTAGAGCAACATACGGGCAATCTGAGTTCAATAAACCATCTGGGTGCTTGCCAATGTGCAGAGGGTTGCTGCTTATCAAAACCAGCATCCATGCCTCCACTTGTGGGCTCTAAATGAAATATTTTTAGTCTCTTCATGTTTATCAGAGCTGACTCATCTAAGCTGTAGGTAGCATCTATATTCTGCCTTTGGAAAAACAACAACTTAAATACTGAAACTCTGGTTTGCTGAGGGGCTACTGTGTAATTGCTATAGTGTAGAACAAGCAGCAGCATCTACCTAACTCTCTCAGGGGAGTCCCATGGAAAGTAGCAGAATTTTGTGAAAGTCCTAAAAGCAGAACACTGTAGTGATGAGTCAGACTCTCTATCTCCTAAGGAGAGCTCATGTTCAATTTCCCAGTGATTCTGAACTGTTTCTAGAAGTATTTAAAAGCTGAAGCAGAATATACACTGCAGAGGGAGGAGAAGTGTGAATGATTCTCCACACTCACTAGTGATAACACAAGACATAGACTATGGGGAGTGCCCCACCACAGACATGCTGGCCAATGACTGGAATCATGTCAAGTACACAGAGGAGATACCCAGTTGCTATGCATTTTTCCATCAAGTGCAGTGGGTCTATGGCAGTGTACAGCACTTGAACAGTTGCCCAAAAGTTATGTTGAACACTGCTACTCTGTTAGCTTTCCTGCTTCTTTTAGTTGGAACTGTGTCCTTTGAGTTTATTTGAATTGTAAATATAAGGTGGTCTTTAAAGCCTGAAATTGTGAGCTGAGAAAGGAAAAGAACTGAATGTTACTCTCACAGCCCTGAAGCTTCAGAACCATGACATGGTTTTCTTAAAAGCTACTTTAAGACTTCTGTGGCATTTGATTCATAAGCAAAATCAGTAATCATTTGTTCTGAAGGCTTTATAAGTGCTTTATAAGCACCGAAAAGTGCATGACCCAGAAATATTTCAAGAGGTCTTTTAAGTGCATGCTGGACTGTTGCGAAAAATGCAGCAACTCAAAAAGTGGATGGCAAAGCTTGATTAGTTTGCTTATCTTGTCCTAAGCAGTTCACCAGTGTAACTGAGTGTATCCTCACTTCCCAGCACTGCCATGCTCACATCTCATCTGGCATGCAAGTCAGAACACTGTCCCCCAACTATACCTCTGAAATTAAGGGACTTGGAACAGCTGGGTTTCTATTCAAGAAATACACAGGAAAATCCAACCTGTCCAAGTTTGTGCAATCTGATCAGATTTCTTTGGAATCTCCTGAGGTCAATAGATCCTCTCTATTACAAGTTCAACACAGTTCAAGATTCTGCAATCAATTCAGTGCTGAAAAGAAGCATGGCAAGCTTATCACTTACATGTATTGGCACCAACACACATCTTCCCCACTGTATCACTAGTCACATGCCTAAATGCCAGTGTGTCTGAGGAGTGGTTAGGAAAACAGATTTGAACTCAAGCAAATCGGTTGCTGAAGTAAAGTTCAATAAACAGCCTTTATATATAAATGTATGTGAAATTTCTGAAGAAAATAGGATTAGCTCATGCCTTTTTTTTTTTTTTCCCAAACACATTTTATCTCTTGAATTATTATTGATATGCAAAGGCCAAGAGAAAAAATATTTTTTGCAGTCTTAAAAAAAATGGGTTTAGCTCATCCTTTTTTTTTTTTTCCCCAAACACATTTTATCTCTTGAATTATTATTGATATGCAAAGGCCAAGAGAAAAAATATTTTTTGCAGTCTTGGTGTTCCTCTCAGCTGCATGTAGACGAAAACCACTAAGCACAACTCAGCATGGATTCTGGTGACTCCCCTAGGCAGGAATATCATAGAATCATAGCCCTGGCGATGAAGAATATCTGAAAAAATGAACAGGTCATAGCCAATATGCATTGCTATAGGGAAGCCCTAGGAATTATATGAAAAGTCTGGGAGTCATGATTGGATTCCATTGATTGAGTTGCACTCAGCCAAGCTGCCCAGGACTGTACCACCAAGTGACTGTTGAAGAGATATCAGCAGAGTTATTTTCTACAGGGAAGGTGGAACATGAGCAGAAATGATGCTTTTGTTAGAGAACAGGGATATCTGTTGGTAGCTCAGTCTGGGTTCAGTTACATGTTGGCAAAGTTAGGTCAAGTCCTCACTACTGGAGTGTCAGGTGGCTGTCAAGTAAACTTGGGCAATGAGCAGAATAGATTGAGGAGCACATAAGAATACAGACATTTTAAAAGAAAAAGGGGTGGCAGGAAATCCCAGGGAAGACATGAGACTAGACAAAATACCAAGGAATCCTGAATACAATTCAATATACCAGCACTGGAAGAACATAAGTACCTGATCTGGTACCTCTTGTTGCATGGAAATGTTATATTGTGCCTCCAAAATTAGAGCTTAAAGGTTTCAATTTTAATCCAGCAAGATCAGTTGGGGAGTGTGTGAGAAGAAGAAAAAGCAACCAATTCTAAACCCAAGGATTTTTTAAATAGCTGAAATATCACCAGCCTATGCTACCAGATTGCCTCCTGTCAGGCAGAAAGGTAATGCATCATTTCCACACCTTGTACACAAAGAATGCTGCCTACAAAATGCACTTACAGAGACCAAGGGGAGGGAAGGGAAATCAATGGATAATCTGTCTCTTGGAACCATTTTTTCTCCCACAGCTGATCACTGCAATCATAAACAGCTGAGGTGGAAAAGTCTTCTCAGGTCAAATAATGTGTCTCCCTGTGCTCCATTTCCCTCCAACAGCCCCTCTGGTATCATATCTAATCTCTGATCCACGGGGTCTCTCTTCCATTGCCTCATACATGTCATTCTTAAGAATAATTTTGTAATATCTAGCGCAAGTGAAAAATGTTTTTCCAGCTAATAAAGCCCTATATACAACAGCCCCTCTGGTATCATATCTAATCTCTGATCCACGGGGTCTCTCTTCCATTGCCTCATACATGTCATTCTTAAGAATAATTTTGTAATATCTAGCGCAAGTGAAAAATGTTTTTCCAGCTAATAAAGCCCTATATGTGTATCAGGTCTCTTGATGCACAAAACTTCTTTTCTGTCTATTACACTGGCAAACAGGAAACTTGTAGATTCAATCATGAGACTTGGACAGTTCTGCTTGATTTAAACATCACCTGGTAAGCAATTGCTTGTATACAAAGGAGGATAAAGGTTAGGCCACCAATAGCCCTGAGCTGGTGGGAGTTAGGGTATTTTTTTCGTATTCCTTTTGCTGATTTGAAACAGCTGTTGTAAGTTCCTGTACAATTGGATGAGCTGTCATATACAGCCTGTGTATGCTGTAAACTAGAAATCAATTATTAGTTTTAATAAGTCACCATTGAAATGGGGGTTGTGACCTTTTCAATTAAGCTGCATCAAAGCACATCTGATTTGACCTTACAATGCCATATCCAGAAAATCCAGAGTCCATTCTTTTAATTGGTATGAAAGGGCCTTTTCAATTCAAATGCTACTTACTTGCCAAGAAAGCACTTGGGAACAGTACTTAATTTTCTCCTCCTGTCCTTGATAAGGTTCACTTTCTTGCTCATCATCATTTGGTACAGCTTCTCTCCTTTCTCTGCAATCATGACATAGGCATCCCTCTCCATTCCCAGTTTCAAGCCTGGAATACAAGCACAAATTCCATCAGATCATTAGCATCAGGTAAAGTGTTTGCTTGAAGTCCAAAGCTGAGGCCAAACAGACAAGAAAATTTGTAGAAACACAAATTAACTGGGACAAACTGGGGCATTTATTTATCCGAGTACAAAACTGTGATTGGTGAGTTTAGCACCAACAAGAAGCTTGCAGCTTTTCTTCTCCATTTAAAAAAGTAGCTTTAACACATCACATAACACAAAGTAGAATGGTTTACAGAACACAGAGAGTCCCAGACAGAGCAAGATAAAACATACACCACCTGAAACTGATTCCCTGTTGCAATTTCACTTTTGACCCTGAAACAACTGCCAGCATAAGACTTGTTCAAGAAAGCTAAAATGCTTGACAGAGCAGAAGACTTTTTGAGTGTTCTAATGCTTGAAGCCAAAAATACAAAACTGTTGCAATCAAGTTAACAATCTTAAACAAATAAAAACTAGACAGGAACATTATTTTCTCATTCTTTCTTATTTATAGTCTTTTTACTAATACCCCTAGACAAAAAATACAGGTTGACAATCATTATCTAGGCAATAAAAAAAATACTGAAAGATTTAAGGAGTTATAGATAATTGGATATAGAAAAAAATTCAAGTCCACTTTGTATGATTTTCCACATAGCTCAAGCTAACTTCAAAATTGCTGGAGTCAGGAAGTTGATCTCTGGAAACAGAAGATGTCTGTTCTGGCCCTCTCACCTTTAGATTTGCAAGTTGCTTTAGGAGGACAGCACATGAGAAAAGCTGTGTTGCTGATGTATATTATTTGTCTCTTCTGAGCCTGAACAAATAATTTTGTTTTCTGGTTATGTTACTCTAGAACTTGCGAATCTGGACAACTCAAGTCCAAAATAGAGGCACAGATTTTAGATATCTCTAAGATCTGTGCTCACTTGCCTAATTTTTACAGAGATTGACATTAGGCAGAATTTATGTGATCAGTGGAAGGCTAGAAAATGAAAGCTGTACCTTCTTTGAGAGAGCAGCTCACCCTAACTGGACATAAATCCTACTGGGTTATGGTATGACACTGAAATTAATTACTAGCCTTCTGTGTCATCAGACCTGCTTTCTAGCTTTAAGAAAATGCATAATGCATTTGTTCTAAAGGCTTGAAATGCATATGGCAGAAATTAAGACTTGCAACACCTTTTGTCTTTCAAATACAGTATTTCTTTACTGTGTCAAATATATGGTTAAAGGTTTTGGCTTTGCAAAATGCCCTGGCTTATTGCTGTTATTCTTCCATCCCTTTCTTTCCCCAATAATGTGATGCAACTCCATGTGAATGCTGACACATGTGGCCAGGATGAATTTGCAACGTGAACTTGTGATAGAAAACAGTCTGTGTAACAGGATACATGTTTCCTGCTGGTCTTACATCACTGAATTCCCCAGGCTCTGGTGTGAATGGCAGACTGGAATGCACATTCTACCCAACTCATCCTACAGGATTGGGAACCTCCCCAAGTGCTCTAATACAAACACTGATATCTCTGACTTTGCAAGTATTCTGGTCCAAAGGAGACTTTCCAATAAGGCCTGGAATCTCTGCCAGAATAAATGTGCTTATCCTGAGTGCCTTGTCATCAGCTGCCATGTCATAAAACCATAGGACAAAAAGCATCCAAAAACCCCCACTTCCTAGCCAATGCTGCATGGAAAACTTTGAGAAACATTCTATTAAGTAATAGTTCTTTTCCCTTCCTAATATTTATTTCAGTCACCTGCCCATATTCTCATGCTCCTCGTTTAGATATGGTCTGTTTTTCTGACCTCTTTCAATACTAGAACAGATGAGGAATTACATCTTTACTGGAGCTGCACATGCAGAGAGGGGAACCATTTCTAAAAGTCAGGTATAGAATGTTTTAAAATAAGTTTCATTTCCTCTGGCAATGAGCTATTATTTTTCCCACTGAGCAAACAGGGAAGCAGGGTCACTTGTGAAAGACTGTTAAAGGAACTCAGAACTTTTATCACCAACCCTGATTCATGGTTTTGTGAGCTTGCTTCTATTATACAACACCATCTGAAGATAAGATTGGGTTTTGTTCCATTCCACAAGAAAAGACAGAAGTGACAAGCAACTGCATGCATTTGAAACTGCGCTCAGTCTGAGCATAATATTTCTGAAGTTCTTCTCCATGAATTGTTTTGTTTATTTGAAGATCATGGAGGCTGAGTTTGTGTGCTTGCCTCTGGAAAAAGGCTACTTGCTGGATTTTCTTCTTTCCTTTTACTGACAAATACAATTTTATCTTATTTACAAATAAAAGATCAAATAATGAAATTGATTAAAGGTAATTGTTTCACAATAACTCAATCATCAAAGTAACTGACTCTGGCAAATAAAAGTATTTTATATATATACCAACACAAATCCATAAAAACTCCAAGATACACATTCAGAAATATTTAAATTACTTTGATTTTGTCACTTCATCATTAAGAGTAAAATTTCATTCTTCCCATAGAGGAAAAATTGAAACCTTTTCTTTTTCTCAGCTACTTATGCATGCATAAACACCTCTCCTTGCTATGCAAGTTCATTCAGTGCATTTGAAAACACTGTCCACTTACTCTCTCTCTGCTCCCTTTCCTTGATTATAGCATCCAGCCATTTCTGTTTGTCCTCTGCGGTCTTGGCCATACAGACAAACCACTTGTTTTTGGCTGTGTTGTGTATCTTCCAGCCATTTGTCACAGTGTAGCCGTTGCTGTGGTAATCTGCTGTAAAACCCAAACAAAAACACAGGGTGAACAGAAGGCTTGCTACTTAAATCAGTGTGGAACACCTTACTTAAAATGTTCATCTTTGAAAAGTTTGATTTCTAGAGGTGTTCCTCTTGCATCAGCATTACTGGTTGTTTCTTGCTCCTCTACAAATACAAATATTAAGTATCTATGGCCAGCCTGTTTGAATGTTTCATTCCAAAGAGCGACACTTTATAATTTCACCTCAGAAGAACTATTTTAAATATGATGACATCGTAAAAAAAAAAAATCAATTATGTTTGTGCAGGTTCTTTGTTCTGAACTTTCTGGGGACAACCTAACTTCTTGCACTGCAAGAATTTTTGTTCTCAGGACATGGGAACTCTTTAAATGTCAACTGTTTAAAGGACATAATATTAATTCCTATCTTATCACAATAGGAGCAGGGGATGGTCTGGCCTTTGTGGATGAAATCAGAAACCCATCCAGTCTTCCCTGTCCATGCCAAAACACAAGAATCATCACAAAACTGCATTCCCATACAACATTCCATGCTGCTGATTTGATGTTAAGACTAATATTTGGTAGTATTTTAAATTAGAAGATCCAGAAGTTCTGTTATTATAGCTGTAATGGCTTAAGATGTAAGAAAAGAAAGGATAGAAAGAAGATAAAGTATCTTTTACTAAATTAATTTGGATTAGGAGGAAAAATAGACAAGCTTCGGGCTACACAAATTCTTACTAAGGTCATTTCAGACTGAAAGACCAGTGACTAAAAGCAGGTCCAGTTTTCAACCATGTCAATTGGTCTAATAATGAAGGTATTAGAAGTTACATAGCTTCCTTAAGACTTAATTAAAGGAGTTGGATGAGTACTTCGGTATGAACTTGCAACACAAGACCCGGATTTGCTGTATTGTTAAAAGATAGTATTTGGTCTCTTACCTGTTCCATCTTCCACATTCTCCACCTCCATGACTTCTGTATTGATGCGACCCCTGAAGATGTACAGGGACCCATTGATTGACTTTGTCCTCTTAGAGGGTTTTTTCCCAGTAACTCTGCAATCAGGATTTAGACTGTTAGCACCACATCAGCAAATACTGTAACATATAGATGCATAAATCAATCTGAGATACGACAGTAAAAAAAAAGATTCCACTGTAGTGCTGTGGTATTTGACCATATCTCTAATTTCAGATAACTGAATACTCAAACAGCTCACAAAGATAATAATAAAACAGGGTCAGTACAGTGATAAAGAGCTTATTTTGCAAGATTATGTGAAGACTGGGATGCCTTCAAGATTTACATTCTTAATGACTAACTGATTGCAATGCCAGTACAGCTGAACTGCACATGGCTTTGGGATGAAAACTGCAATATTACCTGGCACCAAGTTACATTTGCCTCCTTTGTTTGCCTACAGCTTTGATAAATTTGTGGTATGTGTACTCAGTTTCAAATTTGAAACAAAATATGTCAAGAGGCTAGTGCCACATGGTCTCTCATACACAAATTAAATGTCCCTGTATGTGGCACTTGTGAAAGTGCTGCTGTGGTGACTTGGTTTTACTGTGTCTCTGTTGAAGTGTTGCATAAAAAAAATTCGGGAAAGTACTTTTCATTGCTACTTATGTTCTGATTTTTATCTCTAGATGAGGTTTAAAGCTATCCAACTGACACCTGCTGAGGTTTAATATCTAAGAACAACCCTGCTATGTGAGCCAAAACTGGTCAAATGATCATCACTTGATATGGCAAGCATCCAAGCTCTGTACAGTGAAGGGACTGCTGTGGCAACTTGCCAGAAGCTCATAAGATTCAAAGAATCATGCAATAAGAGACAGCTGGGCAGAAAATGTCTGTAAAATTTAAATATCTGTTA